CTATTGTATTACACATTTTAATACCCAGTGTGGCCTTGTGATCCTAAGAACAAAGGCTTTCAAATGTGAACTCAAACTCTTAAAAATCTGGATAGGATTGCTTAGAAGTGGCTTGAAGCATAAAAAGATCTTTATGCTCTCTCCAAACAGAGAGGCAAAGGGAAGTTTTTCCTCTGTCAGCTTTTCCAGATGGTAGAATATTGTAACCCAGCACCTAAAAGTGAGACCTGATCGATTACTCATATAAGACAAAATTTTATTTATGTCTTTATTTAACTGCTGATATCTGTTCCTCCCTTTAAATGGTACTGACCTATTTCCTCTATTTGCAAAGGAATTCTATTATAACCTCAGAGAATTTACTGACAGCAGCAAGAGTATGTTTAAGCTATTTTACAAAGCTCTTGCAAGCGCCTCAATAGGGGCAAAAACAGTTTGCAATGTTCTCTATTCTGAAGAAGAGAAGTCATTGGTGTTCTGTAAAGCAGCAGGATGGCAGTGTCAGAATGACAGTGCTTGGCAATATTTTCACAGCCATCATTTAAGGTTGGCTGACTCATAAGTATTGACACAGTGAGGAGGGCTGCTTATTAGTGTAAGTCAAGCCCTGTGATCCAGGCTCTTGCCTTTATTCTGTTGCTTATCATCAATTACTAAACTAAATTTTCCTTTTGAACACAGCTACCTGTTTAAACTACCTGGAAATTGACTTGAGACTTAATTTGGAAACTTGGAATAATACTATTCCTAGAGAAACTTAACAGAAAAAAAAGACGTTCATTTCTTAATAATGCTAAATCTTAGAATAATGTACTGCAGCCTTTGCTGCTCAAAGTGTGTCCACATACCAGTGATTGGCATCACTGGGAGTTGTTAAAAATGCACTGTCCAACCCCATCCCAGACCTCTGATTTAGAATTTGCATTTTAATAATTTAAAGTTCAGAGTGATTCTGATACACTTAAAAGATAGAGAAACACTGATTTGAAGAAATAGGTGGGGAGGGGAGTGATTCTGACAGGTGGTTACTATTTTGTGTTACCAAGATGATGGTAAATAGAGATAAACTGAAGTGAGTAACAGAAACCTGGAATCAAATATTAAAATAACAACAGCAACAACAGTGGACTTTAGCAACACTGATGTTTAGTGAATTATATTTGCTTTTCTTTTAGGCATTATTTATACAGTTGACTTATTTTAGTTCTGTTTTTTTTTCTTTTGGTTGTTTTTATTATTTATAATGTATATAAGAAAATTCACAGTTGCATCCATCCATGCATGAAAGAAGGAAAGAAAATAAATACTTGTCAGTCATCTATTACTGGGAATGGCTACTTTAAATCAGGACTCGATAGATGTAAAGTCTTCTGGGAGTGGTCACTTGGGCCATGGTGTCTTTAGATCAGGGGCAGGGAGCTCTGTGGTTGGAACTCCTACTTGTTCAAAAGAAGCCACCTCTTTAAAAGTTCTTGAAATATGAAATACAAGAGTTCACCCACTTGTTCGCATGTAGTTAATATCATGTTTCCCCAGTCTACTACAGCTACTACAAAGAGAAGACTTGCTTATTGTTATCTGTTTCACTGGGCTTATATTAGGAGATGTTAGGTGGTTACTTTAAGGCAATTTCTGGAGGCTACTGTCTCTTTTTTGTCCCAACTGCCTCCTGTTCATTTTTAATCATCCTAGAAAAGTGTGTGAGTGTGTGAGAGTGTGTGTGTGTGTGTGTGTGTGTGTGTGTGTGTGTGTGTGTGTAGGGCTTGACAGAAATTGTCGAGAGGTTAATATAATAATAAATGGAAATCACAGTGGTTTATAGTCACTGGCACATACACAATGTATCACATGATGTCAGAAGAAAATCCTTCTTAATTCAATCAATAATATTATTTCCTGAAAAGAAAAGCCTTGCTCTTAAGTATCTATTTTTTTTTCTGCATTAGTATTATTCTACAAAGGCTTTGCATTCACTGCTCAGTAACTATGATTCTGGATAGCAGAGATCATCGACTGTAAAAGCTGTCTATTTTACTTTTTTATTTGGGAAAAATATTTTCTATCCTGAAGTATATAAATCAGAAAATATTTTTGACATTATGCTAGTCTTTAAAACAAACAATGCCATAAACCAATATGGAATTATACTATAATTTAAAAATAACAAAATTAACATAACCTAGTTTCAAACCCATTAATGTAATGTATGATTATCATGTCATTTTCCCAGCTATGGATGGGTGGATAATAACAATAATGAATAAGAATATAAAAATGAGCAATGCTTTAGTAATGAATTTTTGTCTGAATTTTCCTTAAAGCTATTTTATTATATTATTTGTCCATTCTTATTTTTTAAATTAATTTTGGTGAACATTTCCTATTACATAACTTCAAAAGTTACTGTCCATCGGGCTACTAAGACATGATTAATAAAATAAGCAATGGTGTTATTTCCCATAGACATTTTCCCCCTACTTACATTATCTAAAAACCAAAGCATATTATAGACCATTCTCTTAACCAGGATCAACCATCCAGGCTGTGTTTATACAGAACCCTCAATCCTAAAATTCCTCTTTGTTTTCCATTTTTCTTGGAGTTATTTCCAATCTATTCATTTCAATGTTTTGTCAGAGAAAATATTAAATAAACATTGGGTCTTGTTGGTAGCTATCATTAAAAGGAGAAACAAAGAAGAATAAGCAAGTCAAGTTTTATTATTTTTCAGTGCTAGTGCTTTTTATTTTCCCATATAGCTCTAACACTGTTGTGGAAAGGTAATTCATATTTTAGTAGAATGTATTTTTCATTGATTTATCTGCTCAGTGAATATTTTTTTTAAAGCAAATACATATACAAATGGCGCAGTGAGTAAATAGATTGTATTATTCCATCATTAGGAGCTATTTCCAGTGGCACGGCAATTAAATTATTTTTCTGAGCTTATATATAAAATTCAATACAGAGCTTTTTTTGTTGTGGTGGTTGTTTGGGTTAATAGAAACTTCCCAATTCAAATTTTAAAAAAAAACAAAACTGAAAAGGTGTTTGTAAATATAGTCAACAGAATTATACATTTTTTACAATTCTAAAAAGTATAATGTGCCAAACAGAATACTGACTACTGGTAAAGGCATTGATTCCCTTTGAGCTCTCCTAATCCTCTCCTATTTTATAAATTACCTATGTGGGTACTTACAAGGTGCCAAAATAAAAGAATAAAAATATTATTATTTATCTACATGATACAAATTACTTGTTTTTTTCTAATTTGTTTAGCTGCAATAGCATAGATTGAGTATGATTTGCATATGTACACATGTTATTATGCTACCCAATGTTTGTAAATATTGTGTTTTGGGTTGCTTTGTTTTAGTGACACATATGTGAACAAAATATTTTAAATAAGTCAGTCTATTAAAAATCTTTTCCACATCAGAAAATATTCATTGTGCATTACTTTTTAAAAATTGGTTTTCTTTTTCTAATACAATAATTAGATGACTTATTTTGAAATAGTATTTTAAATAAGCTATTTAAATCTGGGTAGATTACTATTGGGGTGAGCACTTCCTAAGATATGTAAATGCCTAATCACAATGTTACTAATATGACATAATTACAGTATGTCAACTGTAATTGAAAAATCAATTTAAAAAATAAACTTGGGTAAGTTACAACTATAAAATACAGAAATGTAATAGTCATACTTTTTATTATAATCATATGCAATAGATTATAAACATATTTCTCCCTTCCTGTCCAAATCTTTAAAAAATTCTTAAACCTTAGCATGTTAAAATAGAATGACACACTAGTAATGAAATGAAAAGACAATTCAATAGCCTTTACAACTATAAACGGATAAAATCCCTAAAGGTTATAGTCTTTAAATTATTCAGGCTCTCTAAATTTCTGCTGCCACAATATTTTTTTCGCAAGCGGAAAAAAATGACATGTTGCTCACCTAGATCTAGCTGTTCCCTAGGTGGTTGGTTCTAGAAAAGCAACAGGCTTTCCCCCCTGCCTTACCGGAAGCAACAGTTAGAAACTCTAACAACTAGAAAACTGCTACCCCTCAGTGGTTGGAACCAGCCAATAGAGAAACTGTCAGATATGATTTCAATCCATTTTTGCAATAGCTTCAGAAAGGGAGGAGAAAAAAAAAACACAATAGAATGTTAACCCTTGGAAATGAAAGGACTGCGCTGTTAACTCTCGCCCCCTTCCTTCCACCATCCTTTTAATCAGCAGGCTTTTGCAGCATGCTTAAGTTTCCAGGGCAAAACAAAGCAATAACCCGAGTCATTCTGTTTCATCTTAAATTTACAAAATGCAACAAGGCAAATTCATCAACCCCCCACATGGGAACAACACGAGCCTGCCCAGAAGCTGGCTTGAGCACTTCCGTATTAGCAAGCATGGACTATTGTCTCAGCCTGTTGCTCCTGCCACGGGGTGTGCTGGAGCCTGGAAGGAGGGAGGGGACACTGAAACCTCCTCCGTGTGCTTGTGTACTCGGTGCTGGGACTGAGTCTGTCCGGCCCCAGGCTGCGGGGAACGGACCTGGAGAAAAGGAGGCTGCGGACCAGGGTCCGAACACCCGAGCGCAGGCCGCCTGCCGCCGGCAGATGGTGCCCTCGGCATCGGAACACCAAAGGAAACCCTGCTCGAGTCCCGCTCAGACTCCGCCCCACCCGATCCGCGGCTGCCAGTCACCCCTCTTTCCCCAAATAGTGCCGCGCACGTTTCCTCCGGAACACCGCAGTAGCCCGAGTGTGTGTGTGTGTGTGTGTGTGTGTGTGTGTGTGTGTGTGTGTGTGTTTTCCAAATACAAACCAGGGGCCACAGGGTGTGTGTGTGTGTGTGTGCCAGAGCGGGGAGCGCACGCGGAGTGGGACTCCCGCGGCCGGGGCGAGATGACCGCCAATGAAACGCAGAGGACGCGGGGACCGGTCCATTTCGTATCTGCGTAAGCCCGTCCTGAGACCACTCACCATGTTCACTTCGGAAACCATGTCTATGCTGGCGACATCGATCCGCATCCCGACGTCCACGGGGGGCCCTGCCGGGGAGATGGGACGTATTATGGGCATATTCTCAGAGTGGCGACAGACTGGGGAGGGGACAGGGGCTTCCTTGGCACTTCCTACATTCTGAATGGGCTCCCTGTACTCCCATCCCTCCTAGCGGGGGGGTGGGGGGGAGACACAGCTTGGGAAAACAGGTGTGGGCACACGCGTGATGCAGTGACTATGCAGAGGGTGTGTCGGGCCGGGGTAAGGTTGGCTCTGCCTGGGGTTTCATCCACCTGCTACTGGGGGGATCCTGTGTGCGTGTGTGCGTGTGTGTGTGTGTGTGTGTGTGTGTGTGTGTGGTGCGTGCCCAAGGCGTAGGGCATAGTGCACGCTTAGGAAAATTACATGCTTTTTTTCTGACATTTATCTTTGTCAGGAAAAGAGAACTAGGTGTGGGTTACAGGTTGAAAAAAAAGATGAAGCTTTACCTCCAAAGTCCGGCCGCAAGCGAATGTCATATCCTTTGAGCAATCTGTCCACTGTCTCTTTCACGTATGACATGTTGCTGGGCTCATTGGCGCTGAAGGGAAGAAGTAGGGACCGTATTCAGAATGAGCACAAACTGCGAGCAGACATAAAAATAGATAGGCACACCTACCCCCCAATAACAAGCTACATGATCCAGCAAGCATGTAACAAGAAAAACACTCAGGAAGAAAAAAAAAATAGCTCACCTGTGTGCACAACAGACCATGGCAATCATCACAGGGAAAGACAGAAGCCCCAAACTCTCTCGATTATGCACTGTCCACATTACTAACTCTGATTAAAGAATTGTCTTTTCGGCGAAGATTCAAGGAATGCAACTTAGTCGGCGGCAGGGCAGTAATTCCCGAATGGACCTGCGCATGCGCAGAGGGTGCTCTCGACCAAAAGACACCTTGTGCCTTGCAAACAATATTCCTAGTGGAACAGGCAACAGATTTCAATCCCTTTAAAGTTCCTGTTTGTGGTGCTCTGCGTCCTCGGAGTAGTCGGAGATATCCTGCTGTTTGCTTGTTGGGAATCCTACGTGCATGTGTATTGGGATTGGAGGTTGCTATGATCTTTTCCTCTATGCCCTCAACCTGCCTTTTTTTTTTTTTTAACTCAACTCGCAGGCATCTGGCTAAGGCTGCCTGTGATTGGCACCTTTCGTTAACAGTCACACTGGTCCCAGAACTGGGAGTTTGGAGAGAGGGCGGTTCTCTGGTCGCCAGTGTGTGTGTGTGTGTGATGGGAAGGGGGAGGGAGGAAAGCTTGGCGGTGGGGTGGGATGGAGAACGAAGTGAATGAAGAGGGAAAGCCAGAGAAGAAGGGAAAAGGCAGAGGAAACCCAGGAATATTTGAGGACTCCAAGAATCTGGTCCCCCTGGGAGGCTTTTTAAGACTTCCCTGTTGGAGTAGCCCTTCTCTGTGGGAGGGAGAGAAGGAGGGGCGGTCAGTTCCCGCCCGCCCCCGCTTCCTTTCTTCCCTCCCACTTTTAGTCTCTGCAGCCTAGGATGGAGGTAGGAGGGGGGAACAAGCAATGAGACAGCATCTCTAGGCAGGCTATCCTTTTTCTAGGGCCACTGGCCCCAAGTTTCACTTTTCTTCTAGGTTCTAGTGAGGAAAATCTCTTTCATAAATTGCCAGTATATTAGCTGGTATATAGTAACCCAGAAGGGGCTCTGAAACACCCAGAGGGTCTAACCTCTGTTTGCAAGTAGATTGGGGTTCTGTAGGAGCAACAGTTGTGTGAATTCAATTAAATTCAAACAATGCAATTAGATAAATGTCACTGAGCACAAGTTAGGAGGGAAGCCCTGGGCTAGGGGTTGGTTCATTAAAGAGGATTCCTGTCCTAGAGAAATTCACAAATCAGACAGAGGGGTAAAAATATAGGCATATTAAATATAGATCTCTAGACAGTGTTATGGTGACAGGAAGGCTGGTAATTCTACCAGGGAGAAGTAGGATATGGTTTCAGAGGAGAAATCTTTTTTGCCAGAGCAGGGAGAGAGGGGTATTCCAGAAGGAGGGAACAACATGTGCCAAATCCTAGAGACTTAAAAGACTGGTCTGCTTGAATAGCTACACCCTGAAAAGACTGAGCAGAATATAAACCAGTGATTCCCAAAGTGGGTGCTACCGCCCCCTGGTAGGCGCTGCAGCGATCCAGGGGGGGCGGTGATGGCCACAGGTGCATTTGGGGGCGATGAGTAACTGCTATTAAAATTTTAAAAAAATTAATTTCCAGGGGCTGAGTAATATTTTTTCTGGAAAGGGGGCGGTAGGCCAAATAAGTTTGGGAACCACTGATATAAACCAAGGAGGTAGGGATGGTGGGTGATGAAGGTGTAAAGGGAAACTGAAGCCAGACTATAAATAAAATTACACACAGTACTATGCAGACATGAGCTTCTGGAAATCACTGGAGGTTTTAAGTAGGAATGGTCAAGGTCAGATTTAGGCTTTTAGACAGAATGTTCTGGTAGAATAATCATAAGAACAATTAACATTTGTCATTTGCTGACTATTTACTGGTTATTGTGTATACATTACCTACTATCTCTTTTAACTTTATAATAATATAAATGTGATATATATTATTCTCATTTTATAGATAATGATGCTAGGAATGAATTAGGGTAATGTAACTAGTTTAATATCAAACAGCTAATAAATGGTGGAATCTGTGTTTCAACCCAGAATTTATGAACCTAACTACCCTATGTTTTGAAATATAGACCCCAAAGGAGGAAACAGACAGGGAAAATGAGAAGAAAGAAGAGTTATTATGACAACCCCAAGCAAAGGGAACTGCAGCATGGAGAGGTCATAGACTACTGCAAGGTTTCTAAAGTATAATGGGGGCATCAAATAATTGGGGAGCTCAGGGCTTGGAAACTTTCAGAAGGTGCTAATGAACTGTACAAACATTTATAAAAATGTAGACCTTGACACTATTCATATAAATTAATTTTATTTTCTCATTTGAGCCTCCTACCAACCCTAAACAATGAGGCTATTTCTTCTGGGGACAATGTTAGCTCTTAATCTGTTTTCTTAATTTTCTTAAAAGTATGTGAAGTCTACCTCTTTAATTTATATGGATCTTCTTTAATGGGTAAAGAAAATATTTGTGATTCAGGTTCTCACTGAAGCAAAGAACCTCTCTATACTGCACAGCTCTTTGCAAAAGCCAGGCTGTAGAAAATTAGATCTGTGGACATTTACTTCATTCATTTGTTCACTCATTTATTCTTTAAGTATGTATTGAACATCAACTGTCAGACACTATGCTAAAAGCTGGTGATACAACAGTGAAAAAGACAGCATACAGAGTCCCTTTGCACATGGAATTTGTCAACTGATCCATCTATGGGTGGTTGCAAATTGTCAGCCTTACTAGCCAAATTCTATTCATAAAAGAAGCATTTAGTTGGGTGTTTACTGTGTTTGTGTAACTTATAAAGCTTTTACTAGGATATATGTTTTCCAGTTGGTCATACATCCCCAAAGCTCCTTTTGAACAACCACCAGGATTTTATTTAACAATGTCTGTTAAAGAGCCAAGATTTTATCCTAGCATTAAGGAAGAATATCACTGACTTTGTATACTTGAATTCTAATGTTTAGCATGCCCCAGTTCAGATCAATTTCACTGAATTTGGCTTTTAAATTATGCCTTTCACCTACATGGACTCATAAGATATTCATTATCATATCTATTATTGGGATGCTATTGAGGATAAAGCCCAGTGTATTGCTTAGTATCTTATGTATGAGAACTAGTACTCTGAAATTTTTTCACTTCCTAAATAGCTTTTACCTTATGGGCAATATGAATCCTATAATGCATTAATTTCCCTATTTGCTTTGGCCACTGAGAATATTAGAATTATAGGTACAATTCAGCTTTAATAATGATGTAAGATCTTAATGACCTGAATTTTGATATATTACATTTCTCCATGATGACTTAGAATTCTAAATTTGTTTTTCCTTTTTCACACTTTACTAACTTAAAAACAGTATGTTGCACTGAATATATATAGTGTGTAAGCTGCCTTGAATAATTTCTGGCACTAATTGGGAAAGAAATAAATTTAAAATAAGAAATAAGTAAATAATTTTAAAAAATTAAAAATCACCAGATCCAGACACAGTGTGGGACTTATTATGGCTTGAAAAAGCCAATACTTACCTTCTCTGTGAAGTTGCTTGTCTTTCCCCAAAACCAACCCTCTTAATTAAGAGCTTCCCTCCTTCAAGATTCAAATCAATTTCCACTTTTTGTTCAAGCTATTCCTGCAACTATTATCTTCTGATAACTCTTAGAAGGACTAAAGGAGGACCCTAAAAATAATCACCCAACTAAGATGGAAGTATCTGAAGATCAAGACATATTCTTACATTCTCTTAGTGAATGTGCTTATTGATTAGAATATAGAATAAGCAGCTTTAAATTCTGTTTTGAATAGGGAACAAACTTGGAAATGATGGTTTCACTTACAAATTAGTCTGGCTTATTTATTTATTCTTGTAAATACTGAATCCAGACAAATAATATATAGGCTAAAGCTCTTTTTAATAAGCTATATCAAAGACACTGTGCAGCTTTAATGTAGATGACACACCTTAAAAGGAGTACTACAGAATTTGTTAAAACAAAATAATAAGTATTTCATTTTATAGTTTAAGATTATAACTAAAGTTCATTCCATTCAGTATGGCTTCTTTTTATTGAGCATCTATTATGTGCCTACCAAGTATACAACTCTGCAGTCATAATTAGTCCATTATTTTTGTCCTCAACTTAGTTTAAAATCTTATGTGAATGGATATATTAGCTTGGATATATGTGAAAGAAAGGTGATAATAATTGTTTGGAAGTAGTATAAAGGAGATTCTTAAACATAATTAAAGAATAAAGAAGTGCCCACCCTAACTCAATCCTGCATTTTCCAGATATTAACTTCAGTATAAAAAATTAAGCATTTGGTGAAATTAATGTTTCAAATTAGTGGATAAATAACATGTTTTCTAATGAATAATAGAAAAATATCTCTTTGAAAAAATAATTAATATTGTAAAAGCATTTCCTTATACTTTTTATCAAAATAAGTTTCAGATGAATTAAGGACTTAAAGGTAAAAAATAAAATCATAGAAATAATAGATAGGTACATGCATAATAACCATTCATCGTGTAATAAGTGAATATAGAACATATTTTCTCTTTGACAAATGCTGGTCAAAGGAGAAAAATTTTTTAAAAACTGTATATCGATATGAATACATAATTATAAAATTGTTTTTAAATCATATGCCTGAAAAATAATTAATTGTGATAGAGGCACTTCCATGAAAATATGAATATTCAACATTTTACCAGAGGTATGATATTTCAATGAGACAAATAAAAGTGGGGAGAAATAAGAGAAAAATAAAAAAGGAACTAAACTTTCCTTATTTTCACATGGTAAGTCTGCCTAGAAAGAAAATCTAACAGCATCTCCATACATATAAGACTACAATAAGAGAGTTAGGCCAGCTGGCTGGAATGAAGATCAAACAACATTTAAATACATGTTACCAGCATTACTATCCACAGCAGTTACCAACAAGAAAACATAATAGGAAAACTTACTTCATTACAATAATAGCAAAAACTTTAATGTATCCAAGAATAACTGAAACAGAGATGTGCAAGAGCTTTAGAGAGAATCTACATAACGTTATGGATGGACATAAAGTAAGACCTAGACAAAGGAAAATGTACCATATTTGAGACGGGAGACTCAATAACTATAAAGATGTCAATTGTACCCACTCTAAGAAATATCATCCATTTGAATCAAAGTTCATACATTTGCAGTGGAAATTAAGAAACCAACCCTAAAACTCAAATGCAAGATTAAAGAGTAAGAAAAAAGGACAATAAAATTTTGAAGAAAAAAAAGGAGGGAGGTTAAGGGACACTTATCTTTGAGAAACCAAGACCTATTGAACTATAGAAATTGAAGCAGTGTGTGTTCAGATCATGAAACAGTGGGATTCACATAGAGACAAGAAAAGATAGTACAACCAAATAAAGAGCATAAATATATCCCTCTCTTTTAGGTAAAAATAAACTATTCGATAAATGCTGTGGAGACAATTTATGACCTATAAGGGACAAAAAAAGTAAATCTTTACCTAATTACATGCACAAAAAGGTATTACAGA